GAGTTRTTTATTTAAATAAAATATATAAAATATAATATGTATGAATTTTGTATTTAAACTAATACCATAAATAGATTACCGTACAACTTTTAAATATAGTATGTTACCGATTTTAGTTTGACGATGATTTACATTATTCATAGCGCTAAACGCCTAAACACGCTTCAAACTATTTTTATCGTTACTATTATTATTATTATTATTACTATGCTTTTATGGTGTGAAATTAATTTGCATATTTAATAACTGATTATGAAAATCAATCAAAAACATACAAAATAAACAAACATTGTTTTTATATATTTGGAAAAATGTTTGACTTCTCATTCTCATCCTGCAAGGTTATTAAAAAATAGTACGATATAATTATTAATGGCACAATGATTATTACTTATAATAACAACTCACTTAACGCGCGGATGTAAAGTATTATGGCATAGAAATATCACATTTTTCGTAGATTAGATTTTATTTAAATTAATATTCCAATAAATATAACGATATTCTGTGTAACTCATAGTAGCGCATATAATATACCTATACTGGCTATACTGAGTTAATTTATAATCATGAATGGTCAACTAGTTTTATAGTATGTAAAATGTAAAACATGCATTTGAAAATATCTCACTTTTTTTTTCATTCAAAATCATTAAAAAAAAAATTATAAAAAATTCGGAAAAGCAAATTTAATAAAAATATTTAAACAATTCATTAACTGCAGCTGATTTAGTATTTTTTTAAATATTAATAAATGTATAATTTATTTTTACTCACTCTTGGTTCTTATAGATAAATCAACAGAATATTCTGTAAATTATAGATTAAACACATTGATATTTGATATAATAATCAATAATTTATAGAAAGTGGTGATTGTGCCTTGTGTGTATAAACTTATAAATACCTCAGTGTCCACAAATTCCATAAATATGTTTTGTAATATTAACACCTGAATATTTTATTTAAAATTTTAAAATACTTACCCACATGTTTGTATTTTGAAAAAAAAATTGATTTACGTCTTGTACTCAAATCTCTCTTAGAATTCTGAATACTATTATATTATGTTAGACTGCATGGTATATGAAATAAGTACCTAATAACAATGACTTTTCAAAATGTAATAATAGTATAATAAATAATAATACGAGTAATTGCGTTTGCAGAGCTGTGATTGCAGAATATATTTTTATTTTCTTGGTTTTTATCTTCCAATATACCCGTTTATACCCTTATAAACAAAGAGTTAATATGTGCATTTACAGTTCACCCGGTTAACTTTATTACTACGGCATGAATTGTTTTGATGATTAAAAGTGCGTTTAATAGCATCTTGGTTGATATTTTATAGTGTTTGCAGTGTGTGTGTATATATACCGCAGTGCAGTGTCCGTGAACACGACATCGACGACAATAGTCGTAAATAAAAATGGCACATAGGGAGAAAACATACCTACATATATGGTTTGTATGTATATATTTATGTATGTGTATATTATATAGTATGGTACTTTCCATCGGAGGATCGATCGATTTCAATTTTCGACTGTAATAAATCGAGAGATTACACGACACCTATTATTATTATACATGTACATAAATGCGTGTGTGTATGCAGTGCGTATATTATTATGGTTGGTAAAATGGTGACGATTTATAGATGTGTTCCTCCGCTATCGTACCTGTAGCTGCGCAGGTCGACGATGATGACCACGTGATTAAACGTTATATATTATTATAATGTACGAAAGATCGACTCATACCTTCAAGTAATAATTGTGCCATCGAATTAAAAGCAATAATACAGATAGTAATTATTTATAGTACTGATTTTCAAACAAACCAATTTAGCGATAAAAATGTTAAATGTCATATTATATTGTTTTAGGTATGCTAAGCGTATATTAAAAAAAAACACTTAATGTTAAATGTGTATTTAAACAATTAGGTTTTGAAGACGTTCACGTCTAAGGTGGCGTTAGACAGGCGGTCTTATAATGTTGAGTTGATATAATGCATTGGTCCTGTTTACTTTTGAATAGGCTCGAAGAAGGTGTAGYGACCAAATTCAATGCAGTCTTAGAGATGAGGAATTTCGAATTCTTTTTGAATATTTTTGTTTCCTACAAACCATGGAACATTTGCGTATCAGTAACTGAAATGCTATCATCGTTATATGTTGTAAATACCTATATGCATTACAATAATAATAGTGGTATAATATTATAATGTATATGGATTAGAGTGTTTGTATAATAATATATCAATGTGACGTGTACATTTCAGATACTATTATGTGTATCTTAATGTTAAAATCAAATATATTGAACGCTGACGAAACTGAGTGTCCGCAAAACCTATTATTATTTTTTTTTTTATTGAACGTTACAGCTTCGGCAGCATAGGCCATTAGCTTTGAGTTTTATACAATTATATACTTATAAATATTTACATAGAATAGGAAGAAAAAAAAAACCTATTATTGTTTATTTTCGAATGGTATTATACGTAAGTGTAACGATCGAAAGACTAAACACTGTTATATATGTATGATTGACATGACAGTGTTGAAAAATAGCAAAGTAAATTCTAAGGGTAACTTAACAGTGTTGACAGACAGTTAAAATGTCCAAATGTTGGATGTCAAGTGTTCTTGTACAGTTTACCGCCTTGTCAGAAGCTCCGCAGAGTTCTTCTAATGTCCTAATGAAAAAGATAGGGCAGTCACTTCTATAAATAAAACCAATATAGACAATAGGTATCATATTATATCTTTTTGTTTTGGGGGATAGAAAGGGATATTGTCATTGGCTGTTATAAAGTACTTAAACACATGTGATATCATATTATTTATATCACACTATTTAACCACTGACCTGGTTACCCGAAATCCGACAGGAAAACCATACACGTTAATGAAATATTAATAATACCTATGCAATATTATATAAAGACGTGCTAAACGGATGCAACCACAAACGCGCATTCCTCTGACCCAAACAATGCATTCCGCCTACCTTTACGACGGAATCTTGTACGCATAACATAATATACCTACCAATGGTGGATCGCCAAACGAAATTATGACATTATCGAGTATTACGTTAATAATATTGCTTATTTGCATTATAGACATTTTTATAGCCCAGATAAAGCAATATACAATTTAATCGTTCTCATCTTAACGTCATAATCTTTAATATTAAAGGAACCTATTATATTACACATAATAGTATTACATATCTCGAATTCATCGGTGTACAAAATTTTATTGGGGCATCGTCGATATTCGAACGTAAATACTAAATATTCGTGATTAGATAAAATGTTAAAATACTGTATTCTTTTAATTTAACTTTTTTTTTTTGCAATGTCATATTATACCGGTATATGTGGTAGGTATATGACATGTGGTATACCACCGTTATAATATCGTATAGCTAAATATGACTTTGCAGCAACATAAATTATCGGAAATTGAACACAGGTTGTAAAACTATTGTATATCATTAATAGGTGCAAGAATTTTTTTAGATTAAATTAATATATTTAAAGGCATACTATCGATCCTGATAAATCTAGTCATAAGAAATAATTAAAATAATTAAAAATAATGTATTTATAATTCATAGTAAATTATATATTTATGTATCGAATTAATTTTCTAATAATATTATCTCGTATTTTTTTTTTAATACATGTATTCATTATACACAATAATTGTATGATATGTTTATAATACCACTGTATAATGCCAATACATATCTCTCTACTCGTGGCGCAACGTAAATAATACCGGCACGAAGAAAATTACGGTTTGAAAGATAGTTTTTTTTATCGGACATGTAGAAAAAACTCTGAATTGATTGACATTTTATTATCAACACACCTTCTAGTAGTGTGGCTTCGGGGTAGGTATATTCTTTAATATGTTTTCTGCGCGATAAGCAATGGTGCTCCGTCCATTTAATTTAAACCTAGTGATGGTGGCATTTCCACGGAGGCGAAGGAATATGATCACAACTTGCAAGCAATCGACCGTGCCAATGCAATTTAAGCTATTAAATAATAGTGACCATCTATACCATAAAAGTAGACTGTCACTGACAGCATTAAGTATTTGTGATGGAATTCTAAAAATAAGCGTACTAATCATTCGCGTACGCACCAGAGATGCTTAATAATTTTCTTGGTGGCAGAAATAACTAGACGGCCATAACACTCATAACAGTAGGTTAAAATTCATTAAGGTTATGTAAAATTTTTTAACAGCACGTTTAGCAAAATAAATAACCGATCAATGAATTATTTTTTTGAAACATGTCACTTTTTTTTTTAGTTATTAGAGCCCAGGAGAACCTACTACAACTAGATTATTGAATATATAWATATGTGTGTTTTCTACAATATTAGTAGGTAAATGACTAATGGCGACGAGAATGTCAAAAACATTATAATATTCTGAAAATCATTTGAATTTATTGTAATATAATACGATACGCGTGCATTATTTAATAATATAAATAATCTACTGGTATAGCTTAGGTTCCTACTCAGTTGTTTTAACTACTTTTTAATTATTTCAATAACTTTAAAATATAAATACTATACTAATATAAGCCAGCGTGACAGCGCTGTTACCTATAATATTTAAGTGAAGGTATACTAAAATCGAATAGGTAATTGATCATATTGATGAGTTCAACCAACTGCTATGTGTATTTTTATTTTTTATTATCAATTATGTATACAATAATTTTGGCCACCAATATTTTTACCACCTGATGAAAAACAAAATTCATCTCGTTTTTATTATCCAAACATTCAGATTGTGATGTTATAACTAATTTATCATAATTATAGTTTGAAGATAATATTTATAAAAATTATAATTAAAACAAAAAATGTGACCATTTATCACACCACATTATATTGAGTAATGGCGTTTAATCGATATTTTTTAATAATTAAAAGTAAAGTTATTTGGTAAAAAAGAGATGCTCGATGCAGCTTCTACCAGTTAGAGTGTATGTATATTTTAATAACGAAAACAATCATCTATACCTACTCGGCGAATAAACTGACGTACCTATGTAAAACTAATGTACCTATAATATATTATATTATAATGATAAATAAAAATCCCACTCTCACGTCAAACAAGAATATTATCTATCTTTAAATCAAATTGTATACGGTTTAATTATACAGCTATATCATCGATACGTTATTATATTGTGTTCGTGTTCGTGAATGTTCTATACTCACTGCTGTAGACACACGTAAACGTATATTTTATTTTACTATTATTATTWTTTTTTTTTATGTATATAATAACAGTTTTGGAATTGTATTATAATTTAGGTATTGGACAAACTTTTTTGAAAAAAATTTCATGCAGTGGTAATGTTTTTTGTCTTAAGAGTTCCTCGATCAATTGACCGCCGRTGATGGATTAATTCCATAACTATCTAATTTAATTCATAAACACTATACATTTTCTTAAACATTTTGTAGGTACCTACTACATAGCATTATCCTGCAGACTATTCGTAGATTATTTTATCGAAAACAACATATTATTATAATGATTAGACGAATTGGAAAAAATCTCGATTAACTAATAAATGAATACTTAAAGCGTAACTGCATAAATAATATATGGYGTACAATTTAAATTAAAGTATATATTCAAATTCGGWTARTGATMAAATATTTAAGATGAATATATTWATTTTTTTATAGTTTATATTATATTATAAGTACTAATTTAATGATGTATTTTTACTGGTTAAAGTATTTTATTTGAGATGCTTTCAATACAAATCTAGGATGAAAAAAAATTATATCGCTCGAATTGCGTCAGTAATATTCAACAAAAATCGTGATTACATATTATATTCACGATTTTAGCTCAATTCACACGCACCTTTTCCCTAATAAAACAGGTCCTAAACATATTAAACGTGGTGTACACCCATACTCTCTCAGTCATATTTTTAGTAGAATCGTTGAAAACACTATATAGGTGCTAAATTATTAAATAAATAATAAATATTTTTAGAAACTTGTTTAAAAAATTGTTCCTCTTCTTATAAATCCGGTATAATTTATTTATTTAAATAACACATTTTTTATGTAATTTACTTGAACGAAAGTAAATTAACTATAAACAATAATTTTATTAATATAATTGACCAGAATAATAAATTATTA